GAGTGTCTTTAGGGAGAAAGAGAAACATTATAAACACATTTGCTAAACTATGAGCATTTTTATATTACTTAATGTTATTTGTATTTTTTAATTTGGAAGAAATGAATAAAATACGTATGGGGGTTGCTCCCCACCCCCTGCCCTGTTTTGTTTTGAAGATGCACTGCAATTCAAAGGGAAGCAGCACTGAATTTTTAAAAATTGTATACTGATACTTAATTTCAAATAAATGGTCATTTTAACAAATATATTAATCTAATTTGAACTCAAGTAAATTTGAAATAGAAATTAGTGTCAATATTTCAGTTGGTATAATATGTGCCCAATGAGACTAAGATCTATTTGCCAATTTTTGTATTGGTTCCTTTAAGATGATGTAAATGTCATTGGAAAGCATTTCATTAAAAAGAATGGTATTTCTACATCAAAAAGAGAAAACATAAAGGCAAACAATGATTGGAATACTGTTTAAAAGTCTATATGAAAATACACTGTAAACAAAAATGTTAAGTCAGAAAAATATCTGCACTGTGACAAAAGTTAATAATCTTATTAATAAAGTGTGATTATAAGTAGATAAAAGAAAAAAGAATCCTCTCAACCCCCAATAAAAACATAAGCAAAAACTATGACTTGGAAATTCACAAAGCATTGATTCCAATTTTAAAAATACTTAAGTGCACTGATAATGTTAGAAATGTAGTCTGCCTAATAAAAGAGCAACATGCTGATTGACCATACCTTTGTGATGCCCACCAATCAGGAGTGAGTATGCAAATTAACCTAACAAAGATGGTGAGTTTTTGCATACACAGGCACTGAGCTGCTGGGGGCAGGGCAGGCTTCTAGGACGCATGGGAAGGTGGAAAGGCAGTTCCAGTCAGAGCGAAGACAGTGCCTGTAGCCAGGGGAAGGAAGGCCCATTCTTACACAAATCTTTGTGCATTGGGCTTCTAGTTTAAAATAAAGTAAAATGTTTCTCCCATACTAAATTGACAAAGATGAAAAACAAATAAAATATAATTCCTAGTTAGGTTTGGCCACTGTGATCTCAATCCTGGGGGAGTATGGTTGGGAACTATAATAATATAAATGCAGTAAATATAAATTTGGCATAGTCAGCTGTTGTTTTTGTTTCTTTCTTTCTTTCTTTGTTTTTGTTTTTAATATATTTTATTGATTTTTTACAGAGAGGAAGGGAGAGTGGTAGAGAGCTAGAAATGTCGATGGGAGAGAAACATCGACCAGCTGCCTCCTGCACGCCCCCACCGGGGATGTGCCCGCAACCAAGGTACATGCCCTTGACCAGAATTGAACCTGGGACCTTTCAGTCAGCAGACCTATCACTGAGCCAAACAGGTTTCGGCTGTCAGCTGGTTTTAAGTTCAAACTGGCTTTACCACCTCAATCACTTTATTAATCTCTCAGAATTTACATTAGAATCATGAGTAGAATTAGGGTAATAACATCATGTATTAGATTGCTGTGAGAATCAAAGAGGCTAAGGCATGTCAAATGTCTATCAGAGTGTCTCTTCCTATTTTAGCTATTAGGAATGAATACAATATGGATGGGGGTTGCTTAGTTCCTCCAATTTTGTCCTATTAAATTGCCATTAATAAAAATGACAATTTGTCACTATATACTAAAAGACCTATACTGCTAAATAACCGCTGATATTTCAAATTTACTTCTGGACTTTTTTTTTGTCTTTTTCTGAAAAGTTAATATGGGTGTTTACCGATTTTAGCTATAAGGTTATTGATGAGCCTTTTCTATAACAATGAAAGTTCACAAATAACACTTTGTGTTAAACAATAATAGATTGATTAAGTACATTATAATTTGCTCATTAATAATGCATCCTGTTTAAGTTAAGTTACTAGCCAATAGATAGTTTAAAAATTTTTATTTAGGTTTTGAATAGTGAATATGTTTTAAGTTTGTGAGTGGAGCAGTATGCAACTAATAGTGTAATTAGAGAGAATAGTTATCAGTGAACTGTAGAGAAATGAAAATACACAGAGCATCTGGGGAATGGAAAATTTAAGACATAAGTTCAGAATACAGGGATTATTAGGAAGACTATGCTGGAAAGCCAAATGGGAATACAATTATTATGAGCTTTGTATATCATAACTAATGAATTTCTACTTTATTCTTTGAACAGAGAGAATTATTGGAGATGTTAATAAAGTTTTAATTCTAATGTAGCATGTATGAGATATATGAATGAACTTTCACAAGATGTATGGAAATAATGAGATGTTTTGACTCCTGCAGATTAAAGAAGATATAGGATAGGATAAATATAGGGTCCCTCATGTAAAAGGATTTAAGGTTAGGAGTAAAGGGATTACTTTTACCTGATATTTGATAGAAATATCAGGATTTGGTGACCAATTAAAATTCAAAAGTTAAGTGTCTATGTTGTGATTCAATTTTGGATGATTGTGTAAAAAGGAAGAAATTGAGTACATCTGAAAATAGTTGTGATTTTAATAATTAATTGGCAATAGATTCTAGAGCTCAGGAGAGAGGCTGGTGAGGAAATATAAAATCTGAGTCATTAGCATTGTAGGGGACAGAGAAATGCTTCCAGGAATCTACCAGGTACATTATCTTTTCAGCACTATAGAGAACACAATTCCATAACTTCTAGTAAAACACTTCCTACCAGTAAATTGTAAGTTCTTTATTTCACATGTAAAAATATAGGTTCAAGTTTTAATAAAATTCTTTTTTATTTTCATCCTTTTGAAAATGTTTAATGATCATCATAATATTACTTGCTAGTAAAAGAGCATTTCAAGAACAGATAGGAATGGAGTGGCTAATTTTGTCATTATTATTTGGGGAAGAAGAATTTTATTATTAAGATTTTTAAAAGAGCACTTCAAGATTATCAAGTATTGAATTTAATAATAACATTCCACCTGCTATCTTGTTTTTCCAGTATTCCTGCTATAAAAACTTCCATACATTCTTTCATCTATTTATTTAACTAATAGGTTTTTTTTAGGTACCTACTATATCCCAAGCCTTGTACCAGATGCTGGGGATAAAGAGAGGAGAATGTGCTGGATATATGAGTGTTTAAGAAAAATATATCTAACCAACTACCTACTGAGGTTAGCTTCTTAGTGATATCTCCAGAGCTTAAAAAAGAAAAGAAATACCAGAACTCCTGTGCAAAGAGAAAATGGTTAAGGTATAATTGTCAACAGGCATGAAGAACCTTCTTTTAGAAATGTAACTGAGTGGAGATACTAAAAAATCAGGGTTAACAGTTGTTCATGACTTTTGTATAAAAGCAGGAGAGAGAAATTTGAATATTTTTATGGGTTGAGGCTACTTTTAAGAATTCAAAACGAAATAATCATAAAAATAGATGCTGCTTCCATGGTAACAAAAAAAGGATAGCAATAAAAAAACAGGGAAGGTAGCTGTGAGAACAAAATCCTAAAATCTGTTCTTTTTTCAAGTAAGTCTAAAATTTAAACATGTCCCTATTATAAATGGTCTTAGAAATATTTAGTTCTACCAAAGTATAAATCATAATAGGGTTTTATATAATGGGTTAATTTTTTCATAAAATATATTTGTTAGAATATAGGAGGGGCAGATTATTTTATTAGCTTAACAATATCAGAGGGAGTGTTGTGCATTTATCTTGCCTCTGGCATTAGTCACTAAATGAACATTTTATTTTTTTCTTATAGAAGTACAAAAAGAAATAACTAAGAACATAAATAAAATAATAAGTAAATATAATAATCAATGGCAATAAGTACTGAATGTCTAGTATATGCCAGGCTAGTGTAGTTGTTTTTTAGATTTTACTAATCTTTAGAGAAAAAAAATGGGGAAAATCTTTTATACACTTTATAGATAAAATATTAAAGAGATTAACCAAAGAACTTATATGCATCTATACATAACCCATGGACACAGACAGTGAAGGCCTGCAGGGCAGGGAGGTGGAGGGAGCGTCCAGGGTAGAGGGGACCACTGAGGGAAATAAAGGGAATATCTATAATACTTTCAAGAATAAAGATACATTTAAAAAGTATTATGTAACTTACCATAGATTACCCAGGCTATACTAATGCTACAAAATGATGTTGTTTTATTATAATACATATATACAAAATATGTGGAGTAAAAGTAAAAATTTCCTATTTCAATTCAATCTTTTCATCAGAGGTAATCTATATCCCAGATAGATTTCTATACATATCTAATAGAGTAGATAATAATCCATATAAATATAGATATTTTAGATAATACATAGAGAGAAATGTTCACACGTATTTTTTTTTTGTAAACGAGATCATTCAAAATAAATTGTATTGATTTTATTATCCTCTTTTCAACTTTGATAATAATACATACAGACTTCTCTCAGTCATTTTGCTGGCTATCCAGTATTCTATACTATGAATACATCATGATTGAATTAAATATTGCCCTCTTGGTAAATATTTAGTTGTTTTCACTGTTTGTGTTATAATAAAAAGATTCCAGTAAACATTCTTGTACATATATTTATAGACATGAATAAATATTCATAAAGGTGAAAAATATTTATTTTAATTTCTATCTTGTCACTAAATTCATGATATAGAAACATTAAAATATCTGTAGGTATAGGATTTTAGCTTTTGTTCATTTCATTTATGAATTCCTGAGGTTCTAACATTATATGTTTTGTCCTCATTTGCTCCTACATGGTAAAATGAGATGAGTCTGAAATATTGGGCTGTTCTCATTACTGCAGGCTGGTTGAAAGTTTTGCCCTTTTAATTAAATTCTGTAGTACTTTTGTAAGAAACTTGGGATAATAAAAGAGTGTAATTAGTTCTTAATTTGACTGCCCATTGATTTGCTAAACTAAGTCTTTATTGTAATTGAGTTGTAAGCCATGGTCTAGTGTGATAGTTTTTACAATATGTCTCCCCCCTCCAAATATGAAGCCAATAAAAAAAAGGAGAACTTACCTGATTTCCTCCCATACCATGACAGTTGAATATGCCCACTTTTTCATTTTCCTTGCGGCCCATGTTGTCTAAACATTGATTAGTCTCAACATTTCTTATCTAAAGGAGACACACACAAAAACATAAGTCAGATAGAGATCAGAAAATCTTTCTGATATCAAAGTGTATTTTGCTAACAAAAGTATACACATGTGTAAGGAAATCTAAGAAGAACACATTGCTTTAAATTATGCATTTCCGTTTTCTGTTTCCATTTTCAGATCCATGTAAGTTTCTGAACCTCTACTGAAATACATGTGCCAACACTGGCATTGTCATTAACATCTACTCAAGAGGAGCTACTTGTTTACAGCATATAATTTATGAAAAAGGGAGCATCTACTTATTATAAATTAGGAATTCTTCTACAGATTCTTTTAAAATTAGAACAGTGTCCAAATTCCATTATACTGGTAGTCTATTCTTGAACTGTCGATATAGTACCATATGCAAATAAATATAAACAAGGTGGTTAAATGTTCAAGTATATGTTTTTATAGATTGCTTCCAATATTACTAGATGCTTCACTTTATATATTAATGGAGATTAATTACATTGTTTATTTCTGTAACTAAAACATATTCATACATCTTTTTATTCCTAATGCCAAACTTGATGAAAGCATTTGACCCTAAGAAAACCTATTGCAAGGCTAAATGGTGATTCCACATTAAAAATTCCTCAAAAGCAAGATTAAATTGTTAACTTTTCTAATATATGGAATGTTTTCAGTTTCTTCCTTATTCTCAACCCCAAGGATGTATTTATTATACTTGTCCACTCTGCTTATCTCTGACTCTTATTATGACATGCATATTTTACTGTTTGCTCATAAATCACTTGGATATGTCTCCTTAGTTATCTATGGCTTAGATACATGTTCACTCATCGTGGAGAATGAATAAGAAGATGGATTATGTTTACACATTTTGCTTTTATGTATGGTACAGAACTCCATGGTCAAGGAATAGTTCCTGGAATTGGAAAAAATGATGTGATTTGCATTAAAGCCCCAATTGGCAACTGAGAACAGTGGGATTGGAATTCACACTTGGTAAGGGTTAGAAAAAACAGCACAGTGGTCAAACCCTGTTCTAATGGGTTGAGATTTTGAGCAGGATCAAGGATGCTTTCATCAAGAAATCTGAGCAGCAACCCATTAGAAAGCACGGAACAAAATGCGGATTTTAGAAGGAAAGGATATAAGCTCCAAGAAGAAAATTATGTCCAAATTGAGGAGTTGGGGACAATAGGGACAAAGGAAATGGAAAGTCCAGATAAAAATAGAAAAGATAAACAGAGTTAGGAGATCTCAAAAAATAAGGTACAGTTGTTGTTTTTTCCAACTCTTCAAAAAGTACAAGAACAGGAAATCCAGACTGGTCAAATCAGAAATGTCTGCTGTGTAAACAGTTCCCGTCAAGGACAGCTGGAACATTTACCCTAAATATCCCTGCTGGGTAGAAAAGGAATTGGCTTTGTTATGAAAACCTCCTTTACTTTCCACCAGCACTCATTGTTAAAAAATTATTCACACAAAAGAACACACTGGCTTTAATCCTTCAAAATATACTGAGAAGATCCTTCAACTAGTGAGTTTTAAGAATTCACAGGACAGTGTTCAGACCCTTCAGATATTAGAAGGAGACTTTTCACTGATTTATAAATGGATTGTATAAAAACACCTTTTCCAGTTTTAACTATTATCTGATTGCCCTGAATCAAATTCTCATGAGTATCCTTTTTAACCAAAGAGTAATATGTAAATTGACCATCACTCCAACAAACCAGCTGGCTGCTCCCATGAGGTCAAAGATAGCTGCCCCCACATAAACACAGACCACAAGATGGCCAGTGGGGGAGGGCAGTTGTGGGTGATCAGGCCAACAAGGCAGGGCAGTTAGAGGTGACCAGACTAGCAGAGAAGGGCAGTTGGGGTGAACCAGACCTGCAGGGAAGGGCAGTTGGGGGCGACCAGACCTGCAGGGGAGGGCATTTAGGGGTGACCAGGCTTGCAAGGGAAGGCAGTTAGGGATTACAGAGCCAGCAGGGGAGGGCAGTTAGGGGTGACCAGGCCTGCAGGGGAGGACAGTTAGGGTCAATCAGACCAGCAAGGGAACAGATCAGACTGGTAGGGTAGTGGTTAGAAGTGAGTAGGCTGGCAAGCAGAAGTGGTTAGGGGAAATCAGGCAGGCAAACGAGTGGTTGGGAGTCAGCAGTCCTGGATTGTGAGAGGGATGTCCCAGATTGGAGAGGGTGCAGGCTGGACTGAGGGACACACACTCACACACACACACACACACACACACACACACACACACACACACTCTTGCACAAATTTTGTGCACTGGGCCTCTAGTTTATTAGTAATGTGGGTGTTATCCTGGTCTCATTTCCATCAAACACCCCACTACTTCCCTCTGCTTCCAAGATTGTAATATGATATGGTCATAAAATTGACAGCTCATATTTTGGGATTTGTGAGAATACCTTGCCACCTAATTTTGTTGTCAACATTGTCAGCAATTTTTTTATTTTGCTCTCCTCTAGGCTCCTTCTAATTTCATTGGGGAATTCAAGGACATTCATACATCATTTCACTGCTGCCACTATGTTTTCAAATTCCAAAGCAGACTCATTTTGGGGACTGCAAGAAAAGAAGCTTGTTACAATTTTGACATTTTCTTACTTTTCTACAGAGTGGTTTGTTCGTTTCTGGACAAGTAATATTGTCCCTTAGAATGTAGCAGATGCTAAGAGGAACTTGACTCAAGTCTGATGAGGCCGGCTGCACGTGGGATCAAGGAGACTAGGCATAGCAGTGGCTTTGAGCAGTTGCCAGAATGAAACAGGAGAGATGCTACTACCACCACCACCACCACCAATACCATCCATCGGTAATAATAATTAATTATGTAATTTCAAGTGTCAGGTGCTATTCTAAACACTTCTGTATAATAGCTCATTTAAAATTTATAACCAACCTATTACCTCCACATGACAAATGAAAGCATTAAGATACAGTGAAGTTCAGAAACTTGCCCAAATAAGAAATTGAAAGTTATGAGTTTGGGAGCTGCCCAACCCTAACATCCTGAGAGGCAGGCAGAATTCATCAGAAAGGAGGCCGGGGAGGAGCAAGGGAGGACTGAGTTCCAGTTGACCAGAAGTAAAAGTAACAATAGGAAGTCCAGACAATGGTGAAAGCACATGGAACAAGATGTATGAAAACTGGTGAGGTTCAGAGCAAGGACCATGTTTAGAGACTAAAAATAAGGTTTTCTTTCATGTTGCATGCCACACTGCTGGGCTGAAGTCACGTAAATGATTTCTGTCAGTGGCCAGGATGACATTAGGTACAAACAGGATGGGGCACAGAGTATCAGGGAACAGGGGTATCAATACCCATCTTAAAAAAAAAATAGGAACTTATCTTAGGGATACAGATAATATTTGAAAAGTTTATACCACTAGGCCTGTGATATCCAGATTTTTTAAAAATTCCATGCACATGTAGAAGGCAGGTTGATTTATATCAGATTGTTTCCAAATTAGTAAACCCAACACTATGGGGATTTTCTACATTTTTCTTCAAAATATAAAAATGGTCACTAGTTCATACTGGCAATCCTTAAAAAGAAAATCTTAATGCAAATTATAAGATATTGGCATGCCAGAAATTTCAAACCATATATCTCATCTTTTGAGATGCAAAGGATAATCAGATTTAGGGTAATCTTATATGATTTTTAAAATCAAAACCTTTCTAAGAACATCCTGGGACCTCAGTCAAAGAATGTTGTATAAGCAAAGAAGTGAAATTTTTAGAAAGATCCTGATCTTGACACTGGTACTTGATAATACCAATTGCTTGATCATGACATTAAGAAAAATCTAGGCAACCAACCACTGAAGAATTCTATCAGTTAGAAACTCCTTACAGAGTTTGTTCTATGACTGGTATCAGCATAAAGTATAGCACTCTCATAATTCTGAAATCTGAAAGATTCTTTGGATTCATTTTTTATGTTAGCAAGCCTTTTTCAAAATGTTTCTATTCACCAGCTTTTGCTCCCTCTGCTGGATCTTAATAGCAAGCAACAATGAGAACTCCAATTCTAAAAAGAGGCATTTAAATATATTTTCTTTTTACCAAATTATGAATAAATCAGAGGGATGTGTGCAAAACCTATATGCTTAATAAATCCAAGCTGATTTTGATTTAAAATGTCCTGATTAATGACTGTGAAATTTTAAAATTCTGAATATGTGATACCTTAACCCCATTACATCAAAAAAGAACATAAAAAAATGAAACAATTGCCCTTACCGGTTTGGCTCAGTGGATAGAGCATCAACCCACAGACTGAAGGGTCTTAGGTTCGATTCAGGTCAAGGGCATGTACCTTGGTTGCGGCCACATCCCCAGTAGAGGGTGTACAGGAGGCAGCTGATAGATGTTTCTCTCTCATTAATGTTTCTAAGTCCCTAATCCTTTCCCTTCCTCTCTCTATATAAAAAAAAAATCAATAAAATATATATTTTTAAAAAGAAATGAAACAATTTTATTTATTTTGGTAAATAGCAAAAACAAGCAACACAAATCCTGGGAGAATTCAGTGTATGTCTAACTTGCATATATAGTTTGTTGCAGTAGTTTTGTGTCAATATAAATTTGAGTAATAAAATTGAAATTTGTTCTAGTCTAATTATCAGCAAAGTGAATTAAAAGTATTTGGTGGCTCAGTGGTTGGGCATCAACCTATAAAATAAGAGGTCATGGTTCAATTTCCAGTCAGGGCACATGCCTGGGTTGCAGGCTCCATTCCCAGTGCGGGGGGTTTGCAAGAGGCAGCTGATAAATGATTCTCTCTCATCATTGATGTTTCTATCTCTCTTTCCCTCTTCCTTCCTCTCCAAAATTAATAAAAATATATTAAAAATATTTTTCAGATAATAAACTCATTTTTTCCACAGTTGAGTCAACCAGCCCAACATTCTTTAAAGTTATCCTCTAATGAAGAATAACATTTATTCTGTCTGCATAACATTTATTCTG